CTCCCCGTTCTGGAGCTGGTCTGTGGGGTAACCCGCATCTCCCAAGCGACTGCCTTACATTTTAATTAATTCCCCACCTGGATCTTTCACTCTGCTTCTTCCCAGTTCATGATTGATGCGGCTAACCCCACCCAGATCTCTTCATCCTGCGTCCAGCTCCTGTCACTCCTCTCCGCAGAGCAGCTTGCCTCGGCATCCGTCCTGATCCTGTTCAATAAGATGTAAGGCAAGGATTCCTCCAGACTGAAAGTGATCAGTCTCCATGGGGGGGGCAAAGGGAGGAAATCTGGGACTCCTGGTGCAGTCACTTTTTGCCTATATCATCATCATCTGCAGCCAGATAAGTCCCTGAGAGGCAGGTAGGCTGGGGGGAATACTCTACCCATTTCAGATTATCTATTTCATCTGGTCCCACTGAGGGCCCTCTGTCATCCCATAGCAACCAGCTGCAGCACTAGAGGTGCTGCTTCTGTTTCCCCAACCTGTCTTTGTAACCAAGTCCAAACAAGCTTGCATTGAAGAATATTCCTTTAATTAACAGGACAAATCCCAAACAAGGAAAGAGCTTCCACTCAGGTCCTGGGTCCCACTCCTAGCTCCAGAGTTGGAGATTCCTCTTACATGGTCTCTGTATCTTCCTTGTTCACAGCACCCCTCCCCCCAGCTCTCCTCCCCAGCTCTGGAGTACTGTTCTCACCAGTCCTTCTGCCCTTAACATAAAATACAACCTCACGGCCTTCCCAGTGCTCCCCAGTGCTGGGCAGTACTCTCACCAGTCCCTTGGCTAACAGAGCATAAAGATCTCACCCAGTTCTACTCCCCAGAGCTGGGATTTAGCTCTCATCCATTTTCCCATGATTGTATCGGGAATGCGCCCTTTGTTTCTTGCCTGGGGTCTCCTCTGTCCAGGAGGCCCCCCGATCACCTTGCTGGGTTCCCTTCCTTACTGAGTTCTGGCTATTTTATTACAGTCAGGTGCATCCCTAATTGAGGACTAATCAACCACATGGGCAATCAGTTAACCCCAAGGCTGGCTGACCAGCCTTAGTTGTGGGTAAATTGGCCCTAATTCTCTCTAAAAGGCCAGTCACCCTGTGCAGCCCCTCACAGGGATCACTCAACAGAAATGGCAAATTCCAGTTGCTCTAAGTTGGGTCACTGATGGTTTAGCACAATCTCTCTCTCTCCCTTTCTTCCTATCCCCAAATGTGGCTCCAGTGACCTGCCCTGCTACATGTCCCTGGTGGAGATGAAATCACTGTTCCGGATTCAAGATATCATTTCCTGTGCTAACCAGCCCATCACTGTGGTGGAGACCAGCGCCCGTGATGGCACGGGGCTGCCTGATGTGCTGCAATGGCTTCGCTCCACCCTCAAGGATCCCAGTTGAATTTGCTGTGTCCAGCTTTGGTGTTTCCTGCCAGCTGACGGGGGCTGACTCTGACTCCAGGCAGCTCACACCTACTCTGTCATCAAGACTAGGATCCAGGAGCAGTAGAGGTAGCTGAGCAGCAGTCTCATCACCCCTCCACCTGGGAATGAGAGCGGGGGGGGGCAGCAAGACTGAGTGTGCCCCCAGCAGGTTGGTGGTAGCAGTGGAGCTGCCTCAGACTTTTGGTACCTTGAATTGCAAAGTAAACTGTGAACTCAGGACTTTCTCCCATTCGTTCCAGACTGTCAGTCAGCCTGCTTGCCCCCGGGGCAGGAGGAACGTACTGCTGGGGGGCTGGGATGTGCAGAGACCACAGCCTCGTGTTTACTAGGGTACCTTTGCCCCGTGACTTCCCTGTCCTTGGCAGCCTTGCTGATGGAGTGCCCCGCCCCACCCTTTCCTGCTTTGACTGCTGGCCCTTTGCTGCTCCTAGGCTAAGAAGTAATGGGCCTGCCCACTGGAGCCCATCTGCAGGCAGGAGTTCTGTGGAGGGGTTTGTTAGTAATTAAACATTGCTATCAGTTTATTAAAGAGCAGAGCGTAGTTCCCTTCTCCCTCTGATTTAATGCCATGTCTTCCGAGGGCAGGCCACTTTAGGCTTCTTAGCCATATACAAAACTGTTATTATAATGCCCCAGAAGGCGTGTGAGGGGCTTCACAGATGCACAGGTCCCTGCCCCAAAACTTCAAGTAAAACCAGGCGAGTTTATTTACATACAGCAAAAACAGTCAATCTGCCCAGGACTCCAAACCCATATCCAATAGACCAAACTTGTACTGTTTGCATTGCATTAGCACCTAAGGGCCCCCCCTGTGCTGGGGGCTGTATCAACAGCTAGGAAGAACAGGTCCCTCAGCAGAAGCGTTTACAGTCTAATGTAAAGCCACCTTCATGCCCACCACCTGCATTTCCAGTACAGCAGGTTTATGGGGAATGAGGGTAAAAGACAGGAGATTGACACAGGAGTTGTCTTTAACACAGCACACAGATTTTAAGTTGCAGAAGGAGGTGGCTATCACTAGCGCAAAAAGATGGTGTTTTATTTTGTATTGTTTCTTTTATAATTTGTTACGTACACGTGTGTGTAAAACCACCTAACAAAAGCCAAAGCAGCCGTGTCCTGCTGCCACTAAAGGGAACCTTCCCACTAGCTCACCCTGCACGTTTCTCACAGGAACGACCGGGGCTTGAATGACAGTTTTGTATGAAAATTGGGGCAGATTTAAAACTGTTTAAAACAATTAAAAAATAAAACATATGAAAAACTTGAATACATTTTATTTACAGCGGCATTACTCACACTAGCACTGCTCGTCCTTCCCTCCACGCAGCGCGACACGGAAACTAGGCATTAGTTTATCAAGTTCTCACAGCGTCTTTATTCACTGCACCTGCTGCATCATCCCCCATTTCAGAGCTGGGCCCACCTGCCGCAGGAAGTCTAACGGCCAGAGATCCCACATACAGCGAACGCATCACCTGGTAGCTGGGGAGGGACATGGGTTTGCCAGCGCCACACAATGGCAGGCACCTCAGTGGCAGACCTGTACCTACAGAGTGTGCACGCAAGTGGGGGAGAGATGTAGTGAATGTTACTAATGGGTGGAATCAGGGGCACAACACATGTACTGATGGAAACCAGGGGAACCTCTATTACCTGAGAACTTCCACCTCTGAAACAAGGACTTGTCCTGATTCGTACTAAACACACAGGACAGTCGCCTGCTTATCCAACCCCAGTTACTTGCATTGACTTAATGTCCCCATGTCAGCTGGGAAAACAAGGTTTCAGTAAATGTGGAAATCCAGTGAAAAAAGCACGTGATAGAAATAAGCAGCTCCAAGTATTAAGCCAGGCAAAGCATCATGAAACCCTGTCCATTCCCACCCCACCTCCCACCCCCCGGCAGATAGGGATGGAACCCGACAGCCCTGAGGCAGGAAAAGACGCTCAGTGGGAAACAACACTACAAAGTCCTCTCTCAGCTGCTGGAAGAGGCAGCCCTGTACCGCTGGCAATAAAGGCCTAGCAAAAAGTCTGGCCACCACAGACCGAGTGATGAGAACAGAAGCCAAACGGCCGACGAGATTTCAGAGTTCTCTGTGACTCGAGAATATGCTTCTAGCGGTTTGTGTGGCAAGTCCCGCCAGGCGTTAGGGCTGGGGAAATACAGCTACTCAGCCACCCCATGCGGGGGTAAGAGAAACAGACACGCCATACCATTTGCTCAAGTCCATCCCCAGGCATCTTCCTGCAGGTTCTTCAGTGACTGATCCTTCTCAGGACTCTGGTTCCCAGCCATCCACTCCACTTCTCAAAGCAAAATTGAGAGTTACAGTGGCAGAGCAGATCTCAGCAGAAGAGTCTCACTAGCTAAACAAGCTACTTTTGTTCCATTTGCCTGCACTGCGTTTCTCAGCAGAACTGGGGCATGTCACACCCTTAGTGCCTGTGTCAGAAGCAAGCTCCAAGACCCCTCCCCCTCCATTTATAAGTTTCTCTTCAGAGTCCACTTCTGCTGTGCTGCCTATAGCAGATCTTGTTGATTTGTACAAAGAATTCATTTTTTGTCCATTCCCCCCCCCCCCCCCGTAACTTGCCTGTTAGTCCTTCGACTGTGGGCTTGGGACGGAAAAGTCCCTTCTCGTACTGCTGAAAGGCACCTCACAGTTTAAGGGTGCTATCGGAAACAAATACAAAGAATGATGATAATTTAGGTGTCTGCGACGTGGGCATCACAGAGAACATGGGGAACACCTGGAGCAGTGGGGATTTTTATCTCTACCTTCTAGGACCATCTTTGGAACCTTCAACTTCTGCTGGTTCAGAATATTTACCACTTGTCAAGCGGGAGCAGCATCTCAGAATGCAAGTCGAGAGAATTCAGCTCAAGTGACCTGTACTGACTGTGGAGTTTACAGACCCCTTCTTCCCCATCCCCGCATAGAGAGAGTGAGTAGGGAGAGGAGCTCTCCCAGCTTAGGCCAAGGGGTAGATCTGGCAGTCAATCAGGCCCCGGGGTTCACAACAATAATCAGAACAAAAAGTTGATAGCAATACAGAGGTCCCCCACGGTGTCGATACAAGTCCAGATCGTGTTAGGGGGTCTGTTGGCACAGGGTGGTATGCCTATCCCCATCGCAATAACGTGCACAGCTCTAGAGTCCATGAGTATACAATACTCCACACATTTCTTCGTTTGCAGTACACAAACATCGCACACCAACTGAGCTCGGCCACTTTCCCCTGTGGCACGCTAGTAAATCTCGAATGGCAACAGTGCTCAGAAAAGGAAGTTTTCCAAGCCAATGATGACTCTGAAACCAGGGGACTGGAGGGAGACAGACAAGAAGTGGAGGCTCAGGGCTGATGATGGAAAAGCTAAGTCCTGCAAATCACAGCCAGCCAAACCATGGCAGGCCCAGGAAAACCAGCAACATTGTTTCTGTAATAAGACATAAATTTGCCATGAGCAGGAGACCCAAGATATTCTCCCTGCAAAAACGGTTCCCTCAGGTTCTCTCCTCTCTGCTGCTGCTGGGACGTATCTCAGGTGGGCTCCACACCTCGCCCCAAGAATGGTCTACAAGACTAGAAATATCACAGACTGCTAAGGAAATCCAGGTGCTTCCCAAACGCCTCTTCTTTACTCTTGATGAAGTCTCTGGTGCTCTGCCTGATTTGCTTGATCTCTGGGTCCTTCACCCACTCCTCTTCACTCTGCAAGAAGAACAAGAACGGCTGTTAGAGAGCTGAAAGGAGAGGATTTCAACATCTCTTCTCTTAGGGGGCATCCCCTCCCAGTCCTCCAGAATCCCCTGTAGAAGTGTTCTTAGCCCTTTCTGGTTACAAACATTAACTAAGTAATGGTCACAACCCCTCAGGAAGCAGGTGAGCAGGGCTTGCTATCCCCAGTCAACAGGTAAGCACCTGAAGCAGAAAGGTTGGGTGACTCGTGCAAGGCCAGAGCAGGAGCCAGCGTGAAACGTTTCTGGCTCCCACTGCTGTGCTCCGACCACCTCTCTCCCTCAAAGGCACCTGGAGCTGCCAGCATCTCCCAGAGACAGCTGTGCTGATGACTTACCTCAGGCTTCAGGTCCTTTGCACATGCATAGACTTTCTGTCCGAAGAGCCGTAGCCCTTCTCTTAAAAACTCCTGTAAGGTCTTGCCAACTCTGTGCAACAACTCCTCTTCGTATGCATAAACGCTGCCGTTGTCTGCAACAAGGATAACCAGCTGTTGTCCAGTGACCAGACATGGCACGTCATCCACGATGCCAAGAACCTCCATCTTCACAGGCTTTGGCAGGTAAAGCACTTCCCAGTCTTCCAGCATGTCCGACTGCCCTGCATAGAACGTCTCGCCCAGGTCACAAATGCGCAGCTGAAAGTCTTGCTGCTTCTCAAATGGAATGATTTTGCCCTTGTTTTCTTTCACAAACCTCGAGACCAGGTCCAGGCGTTGAGCTATAAGAGAATAAGAAATTAGCACCCAGAAGTGCCCATCCCCGCCACCACTCCCCACTCAGCCTCATCTTCATGATGTGGATCCCTTGAATACGACATGGAATTTGTAATCTGCTACAAATTTGTTATATTGGCTTGTGTGTATTTCTGACAATGCGAGGAGAAAGCGCTAAGTCCAAGTGGGTGGTATAAGCGTGGCAAGGCAATAAGGATGAGGGAGAACTCTGGAAATGAATAATTATGGATCTACTACCACAGACATCCTTACATTTGAGCTTCCTAACGAAAATGTAATCTTGTTTTGGGGGAGCTTGACTCCAGTGGAACACCTCCCACCTTCATTCCTTTTTAAACACGTCTTTTTGTTGCAGTTTACTAGTGTTTTGAATGAGCACCAAAGTGACAATCGGGCTGGAAGATAAGGTCCAGGGAAGGGGAGCCTTGCTGAGACGTATGGAGTTCACCGAATGCAGGGCTCTCGTCCAGCAGACTTTTGCAAGTCCACAGGAAACGTGTGCATGTGTTGGTGTGTTCTTATACCTGGGCGGATATAGGGGAGCGGATGGTCGAGGGGAAAGGGAGATGAATAGTCTTTCCCAGCCTCCCTCAATGCCCTTATAGCTTTCCCACAGTACCCTGCTTCTCACC